TGGTTATAAGAAGGCAACGGGGTGGAGGAATAGGCAAAATGTGTAAAGGTGATTAAGAGGCACAAAGTACCAGTTATAAAATAAGTCATGAGGGTATAAAGTACAGCAGAGAGAATATAATCAATAATATTGTAATTACTTTGTATGATGACAGATGGTAACCAGATTTATGTGATCATTTTATAATGAAGATAACTGTCAAATCACTATAAATGTACTCCTGAGACCAATATAGTATTGTATGTCAACTATAGTTAAACCGGGCCGTGGGGCACCTGGGTGGCTTAGTCAGTTGAGCATTCATTTGACTTTGGCTACAGGTCGTGATCTCCCAGTTCATGCCCGGTTTTCAAATAATTAGAAGTCTGTGTTGTTTTTTTCTTTAAAACTATCTGTATACTCAAGTTTTAGAAACACTTCTTTGGAGGACTCATGACTGGGGCAAATAATTTATCCCTGTTAAAACCAGAGATGGCCCAGGAAGAAAAGATTAGCAAAAGTAGTCAGTGGTCACCTAGGGTGACTGTATTTGGATGGAGCAGTCTTGGCAGAGATGAAGTGCTACATTTTTGTTTCTCACCAACTCTACTGCCAGGGAAGTAGAAGGTCTTATGGATCTCCTCCACAAGTTAGCTATTTTTAGAAAGCCAGCTTGTCAGAAAATCAGGGCATGAGGCATCAGATTCACCATGCAGGCATATTTAGATTATGAGAGAAGTTTCTGTGCTTCTTGATCTGAGAGCACATTATGAAAAACAGGACACTTTGGGGGTACTATTTAGTGGTTTTTGATGAAGTAGGGTTTTTCAGTTGTTGACAATGCTAGTGATTAACTGTGGTATGTAGTACATATGTAACTCTTTAGATTATGGGGGATAGTTTCCTTCCAGAAAATTTCCATGGTTGCCGTGTATAAGCAAATCTTCAACAAGAAGCCAAACAGATGACAACATTTTCTGGCAAGTCTATAAATAAACAGTATTGGTGTCTGACTTTCATTCAGGCAATTTATATAACATTTCTTCCAAAAGGCCAATGATAACCAAACATTTTTTAAAAGATGTATGTGTATGTCTGTGTGTGTATGTATATGTATGTGGAATCTGGACAATACGGCATATGCTGAATACAGTCAGGAGACAGAGAGTGAGTCTCACATACTCAGATTGTTTTCAAAATGATATTCAATCTTTTCCCTTGACCTCGTGGCTGCCAGGAAGCAATGAGAGAATAGGTCAAATGTATAGATCTTCCTTTTCTCTGCCAGAGACCAAATATCAGATTGGGTTACCAGTAGGCTTTTGAAGTCTATCTGAAGATTTTTTTCCCCAAAATATCATATAGCTGATGTAGTCCCAAGACAGCTATTAAGAGTTGATATACAGAAGTAAAGGGGGCTATGAGAACTAAGAAAATAATTTTTTTAAGTTTATTTATTTTGAGAAAGAGACAGAGATAGGGAGGGGACAGAGAGAGAGGAAGAGGGAGAGAATCCCAAGCAAGTTCTGCACTGTCACTGTATTGCTATGAATCCCAGAGTAATAATAATGAGTAATATTTATATGCACAGAATAGGTATCAGGCACTATACCAAGTGAGCTATATTATTGACTGATGTCACCTCACAACAAATCCTATAAGGTGAGCACTATATTATCATCCTCATTTTACACTGGGAAAAAAAAAACTTCAATATGAAATATCTCAGGGTTGTACAACTACTAAGTGAAAGGCCTGGGATTTGAGCCCAACTCTTCAGGCTCAGAGTCTTTTATCTACTATATTATAGTGCCCGTCACAAGGGGAAAGTCAAAACTAATTGTGGTAGTTTTCCTTCTGAAGATTATGCACAGAACCGCACATGTTTAGAGAAATTGTTTTAGAATGATTTGTCTCACACATGTCGTGAGAACAAAGATTTATTTTGCCTACATAGAAATACTCATTAATTCAGCAAAAGCAAACTCAAATGGTTTGCTCTCATGTGGTCATATGGATATGCTTACAAAATATTTTATAAAAATCTCCTTAAGGAAGAGTAAGGCTCAATCTTTGGGATTAGCTATATAGCCTACTAATAATGAAATCTGGAAGTAAAAGGAGAAAATTAAACCTCAATTGTGCTTGGTAAGCATTCAAGTATTTTCAGTCAAGAGGGTTTACTAGAGGCTGCATTCCCTCCTTCTGCATCTTGGATGGAGTGGACGAGGGATCACATAGATCTTAAAGAGAGTGAAGGTGTAGCTTCACTGTCACCCTTTCCACGTTAAGCCACTCTTGGTATCAAACTTCCTATAGTAGTTACTGCAACATTATTTCATGTTTTAACTTAGGAATGTTATAAAAACAGAAGAATGAGAAATGAATACTCCTAGAAAAAAAGGAAAAATACTCAAACTGGATAGAGGAATTTAGATTTTGAGGCAAACATATACAATAAAATATAAAATTCTCTAGACAAAGAAAGGAGGGAGATTTTTCACTAATTTTGAATACAGTTGCTATGAAAGAATTAAATGTCACTGTTTTAAATAAAAATCCTCTTAATGTTTTCTTTGAAGTTCATGTTGTGAATTTTTACTGTTTCCTTAGTTAATAATTTATCATTATAACCATTAATTTTTTATACTTTTTATGGTGCAGCTACATAAAAACTTAGGACATTTCTCAGACAGTATTTAAAACTCATTTACTTTCTCAAATGTATTTTATCTCTTCCTTTCGTAAGTTTTTATTAAAAAAATTCTTTTGAGTTTATTTATTTTGAGAGAGAGAATGAGCACAAGCAGGGGAAGGGCGGAGAGAAGGAGAGACAGAATTCCAAGCAGACTCCGCACCATTAGCATAGAGCCCGATGCGGGGCTCAAGCTCACCAACCACAAGATTATAACCTGAGCTGAGATCAAGAGTCAGAGCTTAACAGACTGAGTCACCCAGGTGACCCTGTCTCTTCCTTTCTCTACTGGTAAAGTACCTGCCAAAAATCATGATTTTTACATTTGATAAAACTTTAAGGCACAACTATCTCCTAACTTCCTCCATTCATTATAATGACAAATGAATGAAGACCTTTATTTGAATTAGTGAAGTAATCCAAACAAAAAAATATTGAAACATATTTAAAATTGATTTCATGCTTTTATTTTATTAGCAGATATATTGTATCACATGTATCTTTAAACCCATTAAGTTTGTAATTCTAAACTTCCACATCTTTCACACCATAGGATTTAGCATGTTTTTTCAATATTTGATTCTTAACTGGATTAAACAAAATGTCACTGAAAGACACAGGGCTGGAAGAACACAAAGAAACAATGCAATGAAATTACTTAATTTTACAGATAACAAATCAGAACTACAAAGATATTTATCGTTACCATGATTACAAAGTAGTGTTTAAAAAATGAGACTCAAATTCATCTGGCATTGAATTCACTACTCTAATTATAGAATCTAAGGACCTGAAGGAATTGAAAATACTATGTTTTCAAGCTCCCTGTGAAATTTTGTATGCCCTTTAATGACATCTCAAGTGCTATTAGAATTTGAATGCCTACAGTTCAGGGAATTTAATCCCTAAGACACCCATTCATTTTTTAAGACCTCACATTAAAAAATAAACACTTTACATAAAGAGACTCTACTTCAGATTTCACAAATTAATCCTGATTCTTAGGCTGGCTTGAGGGAAACAAGGAAGAGCAGGGATGTGGAGAAGAATGGATTAAAATGGAGAACATCAAGGCTAAGGTTGTAGAGAACCTAAATTTTCTTTCACATGATAGTGCTACAAGTATGATAGTCTATATGATGTTCACTCTTTAGATCTCACATCTCCTTACACTTCCCAGTCATTCTATAAACATGTTTCCGGTTCTTTGTGACTTCTAAGATATGGCTTTCAGGGCTGAGGCAAAACACAGAGACATGATCAGGCCAGTGTAGGACTAAACTCGGTACCTATATCTTTCATTCTAGATAAGGGGTAGTCAACATTTGCAATGCTTTAGATCCATCTGGGCAGACATTTTGTTTGCCATGTGCTGCTTGCTTATTTGTTTGTTGTAAAGACCAGCTCAGAGATTTTCTGATTCTGAATCCCATCTGTTTCTGATACATGGCTGGCGTGGAGAACCCCTGCCCCAGTATCTTTTTACCCAAGAGTACAGATTTAATGGCCACAGAACTCTTTCAACTCTTGCTAACTGTGCTTTTTACTTTCATATGGACCTCTTCCAAGCAAAATCTCCAATTCTTGAATGAGCACATGTGATTTTTAAAATTTAGATAGGAACTTCTCTTTATCCTGATAACTTTGAGTTTTCTAGATGGTTTTTCACTGCCCAGATATTTGTGGTTTCTGGTTGTGTTTTTCAATATTTTTATTATTTTTCCAGTTCTGCATTTTTATCGGCATATTTCCTTTATGTTTGTTTAAATTTGATAAATGTGTTGGAAAGTATCTTCAGACTAGCCCCAAAGAGCCCACGGATAGCCCAGAAAAGAATTTTGCAGAAATCCAAAAGAAAATTCCTTTCAGAGTGACATAAACTTCAGAGATGGTTACTCAACAAATTCCTAATCTGTCCTGTGACCAAACACCTAAGGCCTTGCCCAATGCCATGCTCGGTTTAAGAGCACCTTATTGCCTTTGACACACTGCTGCAATTATAACACTTTACTATCAGACATTGATGCTGATAATTCTTAGCATTATTTTATAAGATAATTTGGGATAGAGTTGAATATCATAGGGAAATTTTCATGTGATATATAATCAAAAGCCTACTTCAAAGCATACTTTAAAATAGATTAGGAAAATTATCACTTATGAGATTGAGTCTTAAATAGTTTGAATCTCAGTATTTCAACACACCTATTATTAGATAACAAGAGCTATATTGTTTAAAAAAAAGCAAAGTTCTAATATACATTCCACTTCTATTGCTACCATAATATTTTTCTGGTAGCAATTTAAAAAAAGGAGAGATTCTTACCCAAAAAGCTCGGGATGTTGGTAGGCTGGGGAGTGAAGGAGTCGTTATTCACAGAAACAAGTGGTAATGTACTATTCACAGGTTCAGGCCGTAACGTGTTAGTCACAGAATCGAGTGGTAATATACTATCCATAGACTCAGGCAGTGATGTATTATTCACAGTTATATCCGTCTGGAGATCATTCACTGGAAAAAAAATACAGCCAATTAAAATACAGCAGTGTCATGAGTTCACAATTGTACACGTAATGCAAAGCAGAGCAGTTGTGTTAAGAGTACACGTCTGAAAGTTTTATTCACATTGCTATGTTAAATAAGTGAACAGTGAATATTTGCTATATTCACATACAGTTAATGTACGGTTATATGTACAGTTAATAAGATAATATTTCTAGGAGTAAATTTGTAGTTCTCCGTCAAAAAAGTTAACAGTTAAATTTAAGGCAATCCTTTAATAAATTTTATGGTTAGAAAAAACTGGTTGATTTTTCTGTGGTTGGTTCCAAAGGACTACTTGTTTATAAATTGTTATAAATCTAAGAGATTTCAGCAGCCTGATTCTTATGCCTACATTGTACTACAATATTCTCAGGAAAGAAAATTAAGTAATGTAACAAAAATAAACTGTGGAAGTAATTCCTACTCTACATTTCTTAACTTTCTATTGCTTTTTAAAAAACATATTTATTTTATTTTAGAGGAGGAGAGAGAAAGAGAGAGAGGGAAAGAGAGAGAGAATCTTAGGCAGTCTCTGTGTTGTCAGAGAGCAGAGCCCGATGCAGAGCTTGAGATCATGACCCTAGGGTTATAATCTGATCTGAAATCAAGAGTCAGACACTCAACTGACTGAGCTGCCCATGTGTCCTCTTTTTTTTTTTTTAAGTGAGCATAGTGACTAATTTTTAGTGGATATAGTGGATGCAAATGTATCTTCATTTGTTTGGCTGAAACAAAATCTGGGTAAAGCTGAACATCCTCTAAGATGCCTTATTTTTACAAGAATGACTCTAAATGAAGTAAAACAAGGTGGGAAATAAACTTACCTATGTCTTCACAGGTGTTCTTGCATTCTTCCAGTGATTGAAAGTTGTTTCGATTGCCAAGGCACCCACCATACTTGAAACGTTCACATTGCTTTGAGTTATTGCTATAAAAATACCTAGTCATATAACCTCGACAGATTCCACTGTCTTCATCCAAAAAGCAGAATTCTGGCTTTTCTAGAAATTATAAAAATGTCAGAAAGAATATTCTTTTTTATGAATAATTTGAGTTGATTAAATGTATAACTGACTAAGTAGAAGTTATTTAGTAAGTAAACATGAAAAGTTAAAGGTACAAGGTAATCAGAGAACTTTACACACAACTGCATGACATTAAAATAGTCTACTGTATCTAGTGTGACACTTAGAATAAGGAAGATGCATCTATTGTCACATATAGTTGCTATTGAAATCTCAAGTTCTAAATTTCTCATAGTAAATTAATAGGGCATTAACTATCAACTATTTCATGAATGGAGAGAATAAAAGTATTTTGTTTTACCCTTGGTTTGAAAGTACAGAATATTATGAAAAACTTTTGGTTTAATTTTATTTATTAGGCTTATGTGCATCGACATTTGGAAAGATCTAGGAATATTTCGTATTTTTCAGGTGTAGGCTCTCATTAAGGAAAGAAGTGTAATGTCTTGCTTCATTACAATAGTTTCAATTTCAAAAATATTGAAGCAGAAACTTTGATGCGTATGGAAGCTTTCAGAGCTATTCTTAGAAGTTCCTGAATTCTTATGCTGGAATCTGTATTAGGTATGACATCCACCACTGTGTCTCCTATTTTTCTTCTTCCAGGCATTGGAGTGACTCCAACAGTGTAGAAGCAGAAAGGAAATACATGTTCAGGGATTGGAGAGGCATTTGAAAAAAATCTAATACCCATTCTTTGATAGTCCTCCAAACCAGATTAAACACAGCTGTCACAAACTTGTGCCACTGTGATCTACATTTACAAACCTTGTCTACATGCATACTCTGTAAAGAAGAGAATTAAATTTATTTTCAAATTTATGATCTCAAGATATATGGGGCTTGAATTTTTAGGGCGAAGCTCCAATTTCTCCATTTTTTCCCTGCACCTGTATTATCAGATTGGCAAAATGAACTGGAGTATCCTTTTACATCTGAAAGTGACTTTTCCTTCTATCTCAGGGAAGCAATACTCAGGAATGTTTTATTACAAGAAGAGCATATATTTAATACTGTTAATGATTTCTGCAACAGTTGCAGATTTTCAGAAAAATCAATTTCCTATGAGAGCACTGTTTTATTAAATAAAACATCCTATTTAATATAGTGTAAAAGATCTATTTTCTATTCTCAAAGTATCAATTTGAAAGTTATTTTGTTTATTGTTTATTGCCTCTTGTTTCTCAAGGTGAATGTTACTATTTTCCTATGGTAACAATTTGTGGTTGAGTTTATGGCACAAGGAAAAAAAGCAATTGTAAGTTTTTGTAACGTTTTTCTATAAAAGAAAGAGCAAAAAATACCTTCAAATACCATTTTGATATGTTTTGGCCTTAGCAAGTACTCCTTATGAAATTATAAATAATCTTGACAAAGAATATAAGAATTCTATGTTTAACAAAAAGGAGTAGGTAAAATGTGTTGCATATAAAGAATAGAAAACAATAAGAAATTATGCTGAGAAGTATAATTAAGAAATTATACAACTAAAAGCTGCTATTATTTATGGGGCCTAATTGTAGAACATAAATTTATTTTAGGACACAGTTGAAATTGCACATTTGTAAAATAATTCTCTGTGGGCCCATAGTTTAAGGTTACAAATCAAAAAACTCATGCCCCATGTTTCTCAGATAAGGTAATATTTATATTAAATCTACATACACAATCCTTGCTCTAAACTGATACTTGGTTAAAACACTAAATACAGACTTTAAGCTATAGACTTTCACAAGCCACATTTTCACTTCTGACTTTTGTTTGAGGCTACATACTTGACAATTGTCTTAAACCAAACTATTTCAAAGCGGTTGTCTTTATAACTGTTCCAATGTTGATACTAGGAAGATTCAAATTGATATACTTAGAGGTCTTTCTTATGAATTGGTTGGTGATCTCATTGAGCGAAGCAATGCAGTGAATTGGAGTAGGTTATAATCAAAATTGAGGAGCCCTTATTTTGCTCTTAAATATGACCACTATTTCCTTTAGGATGATTAAGAACCCCATAAACCTACACAGGATGAACATTTTTAGCTAGTATCTAAGGAAATGCTATATTTTTTCCTCAGTTATTTATTAGATTGACATTTATACTTTTTTTTTTTTTTTTTTTTTTTTTTTTTTTGCTGTTTGGAGACAATTAACTTTGCTGAAAATAAGATACTACATTTTTGGAAAAATATCAACATGAATTAGTAAAAAAAAAAAAAGTGATTGAATTCCAAATCATTAAATATACAAATACCATAATTGTATGGTAAATTTTATCTGCATATAATTTTTTTCCTGATTTCACATTTTTATAATAACATCTTAACATTTAAATGTTGGTATTTCCTTTCATTTAATGGAAACATTGAACATTTTTGTAAAGATTAATTTAGCATTTATAGAAAGCTATTTTAAAACATGAATAAATACATCCACTGATGGTATTTGTACTAACTTTGCCACCAAATTTATACATTTTGATTCAAAGTCTAATATCTTAAGGTTATCAGTCACAAAAGCTTTCAACTCTCTCACATAATTAAATCAAAGTCAGTAAAATTAAAATACACTGAATTTTGTAGCTCTTTCACATCTGAGTTAAATCATTTGGTCTCATTGTTCAGTAGTATTCAAATGCAAATGATACAAATGGTAATTGGAACAAGTCAGTGCCTTGTCCTTTACTAAAAGGAGAATATCTTTCTTGATCTCTTGGTACATTTTTTCATGTGCTAATATAATATATTCATCAGAAAATAATTATTTTTAGGTAAAATCAATAAATAAAATAATTAAATCACAAAATATGAAGTATGCAAACACTAAAAACGGTGACAAGAGCAATCACTTATTGTTAAATGTTTCCATTTACCTCTGCATATACACTGTTGACAACTCAAAGGCTCATATCCATTCAGGAGAATACTGGATAAAGCTTGCTAAAGCTACACAATGCTGAGATATCCAGGGATTAGAGCTCTGAGAGCTAAAGATTAGAGGCATCTAAAGTACTGTTCTGGAGATGTTGAAATAGCACGTTCATGACTCTGGAATGTGACTGATCTACTACTAAATATCATGCTGCATTAGAATGGGTTTAAATATAGTGTTTGAAGGCTTCCCCCAAAAATAACATATGTTTGTGTCCAATTTTTCATTGTATCCACTGAAAATGCCATTTCAAAGATTGCATATGGGGTTATGATGAACTCCATATCAAAGAAAACTAAGAATTGAATTTCTAAGTGTCTTCCATACATTTAATTAGCATACAAGTGAATGTTTACCTTTTTCTAATGTGGTCTCTGTCCTGGTCTTTAAATAATCTGCAAGAAAAACGTGTGTATCAATTACCACAAAATGTAATATAAATAAGTTATATATACATTTCAATTTTAAAAACTAGAGTGATATATTTATTACCATTAAAATTATTGTTTCCTATGTCAATAAATAACTTAAATGTCTTATTTTCTCTAAAGATTAATTTTATTTTATTTTATTTTATTTTTATTTTTTTATTTTTTTTTACAAATAGTTTATTGTCAAATTAGTTTCCACATAACACTCAGTGCTCATCCCCACAAGTGCCCTGCTCCATGTTCATCCCCCCTCCCCCCCACATCCATCAGTCCTCAGTTTTTGTCAGCATTCAAGAGTCTCTCATGGTTTGCCTCTCTCCCTTTCCCCCACCATTTTCCCCCTTCTTCTCCCCCTCGTTCCTCCGTCAAGTTCCTCCTAATCCTCCTATACGTGCAAACATATGATATTTGTCCTTCTCTGCCTGACTTATTTCTCTCAGCATAACACCCTCAAGGTCCATCCATGTTGCTACACATGGCCAGATTTCATTGTTTCTCATTGCCATGTAGTATTCCATGGTATAGATAAACCATATCTTCTTGATCCAATCATCTGCTCTAAAGATTAATTTTAATTATTATAAATATGAAACCATCTACATTTTAACATAATACTGTCTCAAAAAGGATGCTGAAAGTTTTTAACACATTGACAAAAATAAGAATTCATGGTGAACTACATTTTCTATTCAAAAGATCTATGATTAATAGTGATTAAGATATGGGGCACCTGGGTGGCTCAGTTGGTTTAGTGTCTGACCCTTGATTTCAGCTCAGGTCATGATCTCAGAGCTTGTGAGTTCAAGCCCCACATTGGTCTCTGCATTGACAGTGCAGAGCCTGCTTGGAATTCTCTCTCTCTCCCTCTCTCTGCCCCTCCCCTTATTGTGCTGTCTCTGTCTCTCTCTCTCAAAGTAAATAAATGAACTTTAAACAAAAAACATTAAGATAGAATCTACCTCTGAAACCAAGAACACACTGTATATACTGTATGTATTAGCTAACTTGAAAATAAATTATAGTTTTTAAAAAGTCATTAAGATAATGTGAAATATGAAAGTAATTCAAGCAGCCTACTTTGCTTGAATTACTTTCATATTTGCCTGAAATATGAAAACAATTTCTATAGAGAATTGAGAGTGGGGGCAGAAAATACCAGAATTATCTCCTTTCCTGATTCCTTCCCCTGCTGCATTATGTCAACTCAATTACAAGTTGTATTATTATTTCCAAGTCCAGAAGAGAAATGAAGCAAAAGGTATCTGTGACATATTTTTTGGTTTAACTTCAAAGAATTAATGGAATGACTCCTTTCAAGAACTAGGAGGCTATTTGTCTTTGACCCACTATATAAAAGTATGGATTCTAAGTTCTAATTTAAATGATTGGTGTTGAGGGGCACCTGAGTGGCTCAGTCATTTAAGCATCCCACTCTTGGTTTCGGCTGAGGTCACAATCTCACTGCGGTTCCTGAGTTCAAGGCCCATCTCCAGCCCCAACTCCAGCCAGAGGGTGTGGAGCCCTACCTCAGGCTCCATGCTGCCAGTGCAGAGCCTGCCAGGGACTCTGTTTCTCCCTCTCTCCCTGCTCTTCCCTCCTTCCCCTTTCCCTCAAATAAATAAACTTTAAACATTAATGATAGGCAATGAAATTCAAATTGGTAAAATATATGATGTTTTAATTTACTCATGTAAAAGTTAGGAAAGCTGAGTGATCCTAGTGTATAATCATTTGTTTTACACAAAAAAGGCTTTGGTCAAGGCAGCTTATAATTAGTTGTGTGGCCAGAGAGACAGAAAGGGAAAGAAAGAGAGACTGAAGACTAATTTTTAATGTTTCTTATTTGTTGAAATCAGGCTAGAAAATATGCTAGCAAGTGGGAAAATGACTATATGGACTCATTAGTAAATAGGTCTTCACGATTCTGAACAAATAAAACATGAAATGACAAAGTTAACAATAAATAGAATAGAAATTAGTATAGAATTTAGTAGAATAGAATTAGTAGAATAGAATAGTATTCATATGTTCTTTAATTCCTTGTGGAGAAAATCCCCATGAAAAACCACATGTCACAACTAGCCCAATTAATAAAATAGTAATTAATATAAATGGCAAACTTTCTAGAGCCTTTAAACCTGTTTCAGGAATTGATGCAATTCTATGAAATTAAATGTACCTCCTTTAACCTTGCTGTAGAATCTGACTGGTTAGAAAGTCAATAAGAATTTGATCACCTTCATCTAATTCTTTAATTTCCCATGCTATAATACACCTGTTTTTCCCAAAATAATGGTCAATGATAATGTTGTTTAGGCTATGGGAGTAAAGCAATTAACCCAAAAGACAAACATCTTGAGAGCCATGTATTTGAGGCCATTTTGCAAACGTTTTATTTTTTAAAATCTATTAACTTTGTTTCTATGTCTCTATTATTACATATATAAATACACCAAACAAAATTATACATATTTGAAAACAACTATCAAAACAACTTTACATACACAAGGAGAGCTGTGCATACATATCAAACTAAACACATTGATAGTTCCTGAAATGTTTGGCTTGCTCTTATTCTCAGGCATGGTAGTTTACAAGCTATAGTTCTCATTGGTCTTCCCAAATAATACAAAACTTCACCTTTCAAACCTTACTATATAATGTATAAGTCATATGATTTATTTAATGTGCCCTATGCTTATACCATTTTCCCTTTCCCTAGAAAAAGCACTGTAAAATTGATATGAATTTCTATAATGAAACATCTAATAGCATTCTGTCAACAATTTATGCTTAAGTAATTAACACATTAAATAAAAAACAATCAACAATTTCTCAAAATAATCACGTTGATCTTAGTTAATGGTAAAATATTTAGGTTCTCTGCATAAAGAAGACCATTTTTGAGAGATTTCACTCACTGCTTCTATAATATTCACAACTTATCATGTCAACTCAGCAACATGTTTTACACATGAGTACAAATCAAAACTACTTGTGAGCATGATGAAAAAAATACATAATTTAGTAGATGGAGACATGACCAAGCAAGGTAGGATAAAATGACAACATATTGATGTCTTTATTTTCTATGTTTCCAAGTGCTTTCAAGCCTATAATTGCATTATTTACTTGAAAGGATAATTCCCTTGAACAAGGGAAGTATTTGTATACATAACATTAATGGTTTTAGTCTATGTGATTAGGAAGAAACAGGTTTCACAGGAAGAAATGGAGTTTCAGAGAGTAACAAGTAATGTTCAGGATTGAAACAAAGCAAAGATTTTATCAGGTGTGTTACTTTTTCTTAATTAAACTGTTATTCTATTTATAAAAATAATATGTCCATCTTCATAGAAAATTAAATAACTATGGTTCTGTAGTGTCTATTTATAGACTATCTGTTCCATTGATTTCTGTCTGTCCTTATACTCACATCATCCTGCTCAAGTCCTGGAGCTGTACTGTAACTCTTGAAATAAGATAAAGTCCTATAAACTTGCTCTTTTATTCAGAATTTGTTTGCCATTTTAGGTCTTTTGTATTGCATATCAATTTTAGAGTTGACTAATTAATGTACAAACAAAAATTTGCTGGAATTTGATTGGTATAGGATAGAATTTCCAGATACATTTGGGGAGAATTTATATCTTAGCGACACTGAGCCTTTCAATCTCTTAATAGGTTTTCTATGTCTATTTATTAAAGTATTCTTTATTTGCCAATGACTTTTAACAATGTTTTATAGATTTCATTGTATATGTTATGCACTTTTTAATATTTATCCATCCCTAAGAATTTCCTGTTATATTATTTTAAATGGAAGTGTCCTTTTAAAATTTTTGTCTAATTTTCTATTTGTTCATTGCCAGTATGTGTATATATAAATATGTACATTGTCCTTTTATCCAATAAGATTTCTAAAATCATCTGCAAGTTCTTAAAATTTTTCATGAATATATTTGAGTTTTCTCTCAGTTAGTGGGAACTCCGGGAGTTGTTCCGCTTACAAATCACTATATTTTCTCAAGCTTATGGAATTTCATCAAATGCATGTAATTTTGTTATTCAGTGACAAATTCAAAGGGACCCTTATCTAGACTTCTTAGCTTTTTCTCTACATATGTCCATTGTCTCCCACATATTATGCCTCAGAACACAATCACCCCAGTCTCCTCTTCTCCAATTCCATATTCTCTACCAGGGAGACCACCATGCTGTTCTTGGGTTACCCTCCATTGGCTGTGGTTCAGAAGTGCCTTCATGCAGAAAGCTGAGAGACAGCACGCCTCGCCTCACATGTCCCTTCTCTCAAAGATCACAAGCCTGCACTGCCTTTTGATCTTCAAACAGTTGCTTCATATATTTTGTCCAATTTTCTAGTCATTTATATCGTGAGAGAAAGTTCAGTTCCAGTTACGCCATCATAGCTGAAGATGGAATTTCTCTTAGATTATTTTTTAGAAGCCTAGCAATGCTTTTTCTATACGCCAGCTGTATCCTTAACAGTCGCTTTCTATATAAAACACCCAGATATTCAAACAACAACATAAGTGGCTTTTGAAGATATAATAAGAAGATGGAAACAAGAGACTCGTATTCTTATGCTAGGTACATTAACCTATAATGAGGTTTTAGAAGATATTATAAGCAAGGCAGTCAGCAAAGAACCAAATGACTATGTTTGATTAATTTCTAAAGGGTAACTTTTGCACAGTGGTGAAATAAATGATGTGTGAATTGTGAAAAAGAAACAGGTATGTATGTATTCCAGGAAAGAGGCCAGTTGATGAAAATGTTTAGGCTGCTAAACGAAAAAGTGAGAATTACAAAGAATGAGCCAACCTGGCCTCTGAGCCAAGGTGCTGACTCTGAGTGATATTCAACTCAACACACAAGGATAGTTAGCCCAGTATGGAAGAGAATGAGGTATAGTGAATGGAAAATGATCAGGCAATCACAAAAACCAAAGGCACTGCAGAGGATCACTGAACTGCTTAATCTGTGTTAGTAACATTTCCAGCATATCTATGGAGGAGAAAAGAAGGAAATAAGTGCTCTGAGGTCAAAGAAATATATTTGCATCAGTCCTTTTCTGTCAGCTCTGGAACATACAACAAAGCACCCCACAGAGTCTGGGAGGAGAGATGTTCTCTCTTTTCATCACACTATTTTCCCACAGGCCAAGAGCATCATGATGCCAAGGCTGTTTTGTAAAAGCTATTCTGGAAAACATTATCAAAGTGAAAATGCACAGCTGCCTGTTTTGTGAAAAAGCGAGGCACCTCGTGTTACTAACTAAAGATACCATTTCTATAATACTAGAGTTTCATTCAAATAGCTGAGAACACACTATGGGGAAATTTGGGGCTACAAATGGGGAAATAAATATAATGCAGCACCTCCTATCCCTTAAATAGCTCACAATTCAGAAGAATAAAACAGAAATAAAAGCATTAAAAATTTGACTAGCAATGATTTGGAATCTATCACCATGAGATGAGATAAAACCATAGTATAGTTTGTAAAACTCAGGAAACAATGTTGTTTTAATAGGATTAAAACAAAAGTGTTCAATAAAAGTTAACAATATAATATACACTTTTAATAGAATTGAAGCAAAATAAAGCATTCATTAAAGCTTAACAACAATATAATATATACTTTTAAACATTATTACTTAGTAAAAATATGAAAAGTTGAGCTCAGTAACATCTACAAGGGTCAGTAAGCATAGTATTTTCTACAATATTCCAAGGTCCCAAAGAAAATGACTTAATTTACATATATATATTTCTGCTTTTTTAAAAGTGTGTTTGTTTGTTTTTGAGAGAGAGAGGGTAGGAGAGGGGCAGAGAAAGAGGGAGAGAGAATCCCAAGCAGACTATGCACTGTCAGCGCAAAGCCCGATTCAGGGCTCTAACTCAAAAACCATGAGCCCAAATCAAGAGTCAGGTACTTAACCGACTGAGCCACTCAGATGCCCTTATTTCTTCTTTCTGATGCAGTTTAGAATTTTCTAATTAGTAGCCACTGAGAGCCCGAAAGTGGATTCTCAGATTCATTATTTTGACAGGGAATAGCTGTAAAGTCACTGTACTGATAAAGGAAAGACTAAGTCAGTGTGACTAACAGTTTCTTTCCTGCCAACTTCTAGCTGCCCAGAAAGGCTGAATTATACTCACTTCATTGCAGATATAAAATCAGCGAACTTAAAGGGTTTTCTTCTTTATTATGGAGAAAAATAGAGGACAATAGTGGGGCTTAATATAATTTATAATAACTGATATAAACCATGAAAAACAATAGTTGCACATGAATGCCAAAAATGTGAACAAAATATTCCTTGGAATGTTAAAATAGTTTTAACTTTTTTCCTGAAATTATCAAATCTATGATTAGATCTAATAACCCTAAACTTTTTTTAAAGTTAAAGGAACCTAACAGCTCCTGGTAATAAGTGTCCTCAGAAACCTACCTCCCATACATTTTTGTTCGCACTCTTCCAGGCTTTCAAATCGATTCTGATTTCCTTCACATCCCCCATAAATAAATTCTTCACACTGTTGAGTGTGAATATTGAAGAAAAATCTCATAAGGATTGCTCTGCATGGGCCATTATCCGCTTTCAAAGCACAAAATGAATGTTCAAGTTTCAGTGGTGGCAACTCATCATCTACAAGGTAAAAATAAAAGAGATATGAGCCTTCATCAACACTGCAATAATGTTCTTTATTTCTTTACATTTCCTTTTCAGCACGTCCTAATTTATTGGAAAAAGTATGACAGAAACAACACAGGATGAAGAAACCATGACCAGTTATTCAAGATTATCAAACAGGTACACAAATTTTATAGACACACCAAATGAAACAGGTTTTATCAACTATTAAAATTTAACAGTTGATTATTGATTAGTAAAGGAAAATGTAGAATAGTTTTCTAGACTCTTGTTTGCATTTGCTTAAAAATATACCAGTTGATCAATATGGAACTGAGTAGCAATTGTAAGGTAACCAGTGTGTTGACATTACAAATAAATAGAGACATCTTTTTAAATTCAACAGTTTTTAAGGGCAGACCTTCATGGACAACTCTTTGATTTGTTCTCTCTAATCCACAGTTGTGTCATTTTTTACACATAAACAACTTGTTAAAAACAATATATCTATATTCATTTATATGCATACTATATCATACTATGCTAACCAATTATGAAAATTTGTTTTGATATTACAAATACCTATATATCATGGTTCATTCTTTTACTTACCGTGGTTGGTGACAGTGTTTTAGCAATGTTGGAAAAGGTTAAACAATCCTGTTTATGTTTTAAAAGAAAATGAGGCAATTCTTTTGATCTTGTGTTAGAAGTTTTCTCCTCAATAGTCAAGCATTTATTTTAGTCACAGAATAATTTCATATCTTGTGAAGGGAGTTGCACATACAGAAAACTCAACTACATTTTAAAAATTTTATCAAGTCTAATAATATTAATAGAGGCCTAATTTTAAATAAGTTGCATTTGCTTATAGACTTTATTGGTAAGATAGACACTGAAAATTCTGGCTGGTACTACCAAAATAATAAAGACTAAATGATGCCACTTAATAAAACTTCTTGAGTATTGTCTATAATATATTTTCTAAGACATTAAGTATTCACTATGTTCACTTTTGAGGGATACTGAAATATCAGAATGACCTAAACCAATTTGCCCTTCAGAGGGCAGCACTATTCTGCTAAATTAAAACTGATTAAGTCTAGGTATCTTCCCCAAAAGGGTTTTAATACACTGTGAAATAATTTACTTGGAAAAATATGAATGGATGTCATCATTTAAAAATATATAAAACATTTTAAAAGCATAAAATAAAAGAAAAAGTTTGTGTGTATAAATCATTGAGAAGAAAATCAATATTGAATTCCTGTAATTTCAAAACTTCTGTGAATTTTTTGAAAGAGAAGATAGGCATATCGTAAAATTTAGAATAGATAACTTTATCAAATTTCCTCTATCCTTCAGTTTTGTTATTTTAATGATCTGTGTTAAATAATGTCTAGCTTTAGCCGTATTTCAGTAATGTTAAAAGTCTTTGTGACAAAATAATTGGAATATTATTTTTTTATTTTCTATATGGTTCATAAAATGATAAGTATGACCTGAAATCTTAGAAGGATTAAAAATACAGCTTTCTAGGGGCGCCTGGGTGGCTTAGTCGGTTAAGCGTCCGACTTTCGCTTAGGTCATGATCTCGCGGTTCGTGGGTTTGAGCCCCGCGTCAGGCTCTGTGCTGACTGCCAGCTCAGAGCCTGGAGCCTGTTTCAGTCTGTGTCTCCCTCTCTCTCTGACCCTCCCCTGCTTACGCTGTCTCTCTCTCTCTCTCTCTCCTAGAAATAAATAAAAATATTTAAGAAAATATAAAAATACAGCTTTCTATACATAAGTTATTAATATGCTGCTTCATCCTTTCCACAGTAATTATTTATTAACATGGGAATTTTATCTCAACCCCTAATGCAACTTTTAACCTAAAAAATCTGAGTTTAATTTATAAAATACCATATTACCATTTTTATTTCTTTGATAACATAATTGACAGTTTTCTCACTTGAAATAAATGGAGCTGACAGAAATTATAGAATAGTAAATTTTCAGATTCCAAATATGATAAGGTAGAATAACATAGAATAGAGATTTATTATGACACATAGATCTTCATCTACAAAAGACATAGATACTTTCGGCACCAAACACTATTCTCATGAACTGGCTAATTAACAAGTTATAATACTGGTTAAACCTTTAATTAATTTGGATTTTATGGACGTGTGGACTTGTCGGCTTTCAGCTTCATATGGGGTTATGTGCAGTTGAAAAAATATAACTTGGGTTTTTATATGATATTTTTTAATAGTTTTTACACTAATGATATAATGTCCCAAAAGCCAATGTCTATAATATATATGTAAATAGTTTACCAAATGAGTAAATAACTATTGATTGACATATATAAATTTAAATCTCATTTCTTCTTTCTAATTATGTACCTAATATTTATGCTGATGAACTTACTTGACTATGATTAGCTTTAAAATAACTCTAAAAAATTAAAAAATTAACAAATAAAATAAACTGTCTATCAAAGCATATTAAAAGTTTCTGGCACCTAATAATATGTGTACTTCAGAATTATAATTTGCTTTAAATATTTTAGGCATCCCTAAAATTTTTAATTTTCTTAAATTATACACAGGTATTTTTTCTATAGTTCATTACATGTTAAATATATAATAGGACTTATATATAATATATATACATTATATATAACATTATTTTATTGAGATAGTAAAATATTTTCCATAGATAAATATGTAAATATAAAGAAAAAATAATTTATGAAAAAAATGTTTCCCATTCATCACTGAACTTACAATTGTCAGTTTAAGTTAAAAAATAATTGAAAGCCTTTTCTGAGTAGTAGTATATTTGTGAATAATTCTAAGTGCTGCTTATATTACCTTTCTTAAAAATTTAGAATACTGTGACTGACATTCTGACCTGTTAAAAGTTGTGAGAAGCTAGAAACTTTGCCTTAAAGACCTTAAGCAGTGCACTTTACTGAGAGCAGACGCACGGTAAATATTATTGCATTAGCATGGTGTGTTTGTGGATGCATTTTTATGTGACTGTAAAAAATTTGACCTGTCAGTTCTATAAATATCTTATCTTAGAATAGGTCTCAGGATCTCAGGGGTCACATAAATAATTTTGAGAATTAGCTAGGAATGATAATATTCTGATGTTTTGAAGCTTATGGCTTATATCCCCTTATTTCAAAAATTCCTATTGCACTCATACAATATTATGGTCCCTGATTCCCACATTAATGCTACTTCAGATCTTCACAGACCAAATGATTGAAGCAGTACTTTAGGCAGGTGCCTTTAATACAATTCTCTACCTGTAGAACCCAGGGAGCTTTACTTAATACCGGAGTGGCTACAGGTATTTAGGAGAACTATTTATTATAAATAATAATTTATAGAAGATTTTTTTCTCACTGATGAGTCCTCTGATTTTGACTTTTGATGTATTAGTAGTCCTTTTCATCATGCCGAAACTTACTTTACATTTTCTCTATTAAGCACATACTGCTTCCTCAACTTGCTATTTAGTAATGATGCCACCAGGTGGCAGGCCACCACCACAAAAATGAAAGAGTACCATATTTATCCCTGTAGTGGTAATAACAGCTATTGTTTACGAATAATTCTGCCCCAGATATTTTGTAATTGTATTATTTAACAATTGCAACAACCTTCTGAATTAGGTATCTTTAGATACCATTTTTAAAATTATAAAATAGCAGTAGAGGAATTAATTGCTCAGTTCACACTGTAAGTGCTGGTTTTAGAACTGACCCCCACATAGTTTTACACCAGATATCTCACACATTCTTAAAATTAAGTGATACTGTCATAGATCTGCATGACTGAGATTCTTAGATTGGCATTTCGGTCAAGCACATAGATTTAATCCTAGAATTTCCACTCAATACATTTTTTTCTCAAATTCCCTTTATAAAAAGTAAAAATGTTTCAATGATGAAAGCAGGTGATTTTACAGCAGCTTCCCAAATGAAACACTAAGAATTAACTACAAACAATATTTTATTAATTTATTATCTAGTTCTTCATCTTTACTGTTCACATTTTAATGCATTTTTCAGATGAATCATGTATTAGAATATTCTGTTGTCCTGTCAGCTTATGACCCACACTTTGCACAACATCGCTGACGTGGGGGAGTGATGAACATGCTCTTGGATATGGGGACATGACACTCCGTCCAAAAGGGATGGAAGTCTGTGTTGTTTTTTGTTTTTTTGGATAAATCCTTTTGAAAATTAACAATGGTGTCTTGATTGCGTCAGGCAGTGCGTGGTCAGGGCAGCTGTGATAGTACATTAGTTCGCAGCAGACCCCCCTCTTCCCCCGGCCCCGACACACACACCACTCTCATGTAGCATGCAGACACTGAAGACTTGCTTACATAAACATTCAGGAAGTTCAAGGTGTGTTTGTGTGTAATAAGATACCTAAGCTTTCTGGAGGGTCAGGGAGAGTTTTCCTGAGACTTGAAACTGAGACTTGAGGCAAGTGTTAGTGACAAGGATCTGCCTAACACCATGGAACTAGAAAACACATACAGAGCAGTGTAACAGGAATTTAATCTGATGCAGCCAGACAAACAAAATTATGGTTTATATTATATCATTTTTGTCATGGATTTCTTGTATTTTATGTCTCACATTCTGAGGATTACAGTCTCACGCTCCCTTCCCCCTGTCCTGAGATATGGGATAGAGGCTCATGATAATATTTGGGGATATGTCATGTCCCTTTTATTTTTTTATTTTATTTTTTTAATTTTTTTTTTTTATTTCTAGGAGAGAGAGAGAGAGAGAGACAGCGTGAGCAGGGGAGGGTCAGAGGGAGAGGGAGTCAGAGACTGAAACAGGCTCCAGGTTCTGAGCTGGCAGTCAGCACAGAGCCCGACGCGGGGCTCGAACCCACGAACCGCGAGATCATGACCTAAGCGAAAGTCGGACGCTTAACCGACTAAGCCACCCAGGCGCCCCGACACCTGCTTTTCTTTAAATGCTCCCTGCTAATTTTCGCTCTCCCATGCTAAGAGAATTAAAAAAAAAAAAAAAAAAAAGTTTTAGTCACTACTGTTTTCTATTATAAAAAAGTTTATTGTATTTCATTCCCCTTGCTGGTTAGACTGATTAAGAAAATGTCTAATCTTCCCTTGTGAGAGACGTGATACAACCTTATGTTTTCCTATAAGATAATTCAGTGAAATGGTGTACTTCTATGAAAAGATGGCATGACCTTGGCACAGTGTGATAAGTGGTATCTTCAAAATGGAATGGATTCTGATATGGAATCAGGTTATTGCAAGAATAATTTAAAAAAAAAAAAAAAACCCTAAACCCCAAAACTGCTTAAGACTGTGCAGCCAGTCAGTTTAGTGATCTTCAAGTCTAACTTTGAGATAAATTTTCTTAGCCAGCTTAGTTTGTTCTGAATTTATCCAGAGATTTTAAACTTGGGCTTAATTATTGATGGGTTAATTCTGGTTTCTTGGCCAACTGTGGCAACAACAATTCAAGATTCTTATGGTTACTTGGTGTGCATTTTCTCAGTCTAACTGAAGAGATTAGGTTGGATGAATATTGGGAATCCTTTCTCCTCCCACTTCCCATGGGTTGCCTGCTGTTTCCCTTTTGGGACTTTATTCTCTACATTCCTTATCTGCTCAACTTCCAAAATATTGGAAGCCATCTCTTTTGATAAATGGGACAAATGAAGAATTAGAGCTTATTTCATAATATCTAAATTCTCATTTTATAAGGCACATTATAGTATTTACTTTATTAAATCGAGTTTCATCTTTAGGAAGTTTTCATAACAATTTTTTTCAGTGACTATAAATAGAGCAGTCTCCCTGTGAAACTGAGATTCTCGAGAACGTTTCTGACTCATCACTGCCTCCCCAGGACCTACCAGTCTCAGGCACATAAAATATATATATTTAGTCTTATCAAAAGGAAATATACTAAATGAAATCCCTTTAAAGAATGGTTAGGGGCGCCTGGGTGGCTTAGTCGGTTGGGCGTCCGACTTTCGCTTGGGTCATGATCTCGCGGTTCGTGGGTTCGAGCCCCGCGTCGGGCTCTGTGCTGACTGCCAGCTCAGAGCCTGGAGCCTGTTTCAGTCTGTGACTCCCTCTCTCTCTGACCCTCCCCTGCTCACGCTGTCTCTCTCTCTCTCCTAAAAGTAAATAAAACATTAAAAAAAAAAAAAAAAGAATGGTTAGATATATGAAATAAAAATGTATTTATGGAAGTCTTTTGTACATCATAAACATTCCATACAAATAGAAGCTATCACTTTGTTCACATTCTCTCACTATTACCAGTGACTTGAGACTTCTATCAAAAATTACCAGTTTGCCACAAAAATACTACTTTTAAGAAAGAAGCCTACACTAACAATCAGGGTACAATCTTCTCTTTGTTCTATTGCTGATTGTTAATATTTTGTTTTTAGATACAGAGCTTCTGGGATGAGAACTAACTTGCATTAAGCCAAATCACCTACTGTTCTGGGTGACTAGGTTCTCACACTGGACTCATCTGGAAAGTTCCTATTTTGAGAATAAGGAGAGAATGGCTGAAGCCTCAGATGTCTGTAGTTTCCTTTTTCTTTTCTCACTTTTCCCAGCCAAAGGTGGCATCACAGTTCACCGAGAGCTGTTTCTACAGCACTTTACTCCCTGCAGTTGTCCAGAGATACTTCAATGTTGAGATTTTATAACCTGAAAAAAAGGAGACTTTCTTGCTCAAGTGACTTTTTTTGGGTCTAAGTTTCTTTTTTTCTTTTTTTTTTTTTTTACATTTTACATAGAAGACATTTCCCAAGAAAAAATCACTTCTGCAAAAGTAACATTCTTCTATACACTGGAGAAAATATACTAAATTTTTGAATTAAAATTGAGAGCTTTAACGAGCTGAAAAAGATGAATGCTTCTAACATTTTACCTGTAATGTCTGTATAATCTTCAGCATCCTTGGCAACAGCCTTAAGAGAGGCAGAGGCACAGTTAAGCAGCAGATACACAGAAGCCCAAAAAATCTGTTCTTTCTTCATTGTAGAAATGATCTCTGAAATACAGAACCCAGATATATTTAATTAGAAGTTAATGTTGAATTACCTATGGACTCATAGGAATCTTATGCATGCCTCCACATGTAAATTTCTATGACATTTAATGTGTATTCTCACACACTTTTGTCCACAAATTCCATGAATCATATTTAAAATGTGTGCATGTAGCATTTACTACTGTAGACAAACATACTTTCAGGGCATATGACTAATATTATTCCAGTACACAGTCACATTTCAACCTCAAAAACACAAATGGAAATGGCAGTAATTGAGAGAATGGGTAAATCCTGATCAACATGGCTAAGTACGCATTAAGATCCATTTTTGTATGCAATTCTATCTGCATCAATTCTATGCAAGAGTATTGCTATTCTTCTTTCCCAGTCAGAGTTATATTTTAATATTTGGTGTATATTTTCTATTATTTCACTCATGCAGTCAATGTTCAATTCCTGACTTCACTTTCCCTTTGCTTCAGTACTTCTTTTAAAAAAGAAAGGCATTTTCCAAATTTTTGTCTTTGTTTCCTTTAAAATAGATTTATTTTTTATAACCAATTTCCTAACCAGATTTTCTATGAGAGAGCAAACAGAACTGTGGAACAATAAATGTTTAGCAGCATTCTATTGAGTCCTTTACCCTGGTCCTTCCACCCTCAATTTAGGGAGTTATCTGATTCAAAAGAGTTTAACAGAAGAGGGACTTTAAGTGATAAACCAACCCATTTACACTCTGAGGGAAATAGATTTCAGCAGGAAAGTGAGACTTCCTTTTACAAAATGATTTAGAGATCCACAGTGAAAAAAAAAAAAAAAGGAACACTACACTGAAATTTTTTAAAGGCTCTGTCTCCTTTGGATTCAAAAATGGAAGGAAATGTGTTCAGGCAGCACAGGAAGAGAAAAAGAAGGGATGTATGCACATGTTCAGCACTGATATTATCAGCGTCAGGAAGGAAAAAAATTCTTATCTGTAAATATGCACAAATGCAAAAAAGGACATTCCATCTAAAACAATTTAGAGAATTCTATGTTTATGCCTGTAACAAATCATAGCTGCGTTATACACCATTAAGGGTATGAAGCTTTATAATAAATAATGAAATAATACCATTTTGCTTTAAACTTCATAAAAATTACTAGGGAAATGTATAGCCTATTTTCTCACAACACTTGTAAATGTTAACATACATCTGATTTTTAGTCAATAGCAGTAATACATACCTTCTATTATATTATAAACTATTTGAATCCACAAATATGTATACATATGTGTATATATATATATATATATATAATTTTGAAGAGTCTATCAGCTAAAATTTCTAGTCTTTGTCTTGCTTCTGAAAATGTATTTTTCAAGGACTCTTCTATTTCCATTAGTTTCTTTGAGATGTACAATGCTATTGTATCTTGAGTGTAAAATATAGCATGTTTTTGTGTCCCATGGTTTAGGGAGCAGGCTGAGGTTGGGTGCCTGAAGAACTTGATGAGAATTTGGGCTCCAAACTAAGTTACTTTCTTTAAAAATATTGGCCTAGAGTGTTGTCTAACTTTAGTAGTTTTAGACTTTCCTTAGTTGTAAGAAACAGAAGGCAGCTCAGACAGTTTAGGTCAAAAGGCCATCAGCTTATTCATTCTAGACAAGGTGGAATGATCTAGGCTCAGAAATAATCTAGGCTCAGAAAGGAAAGGTTTGTTGTTGGATCTGAGAGTCTGGGAGCTGCTATTGCCAGGAGTTGCTCATTGCTACTGCACTCCTTAGACAAGCTTTATTACCCCTCACTCAGGGCAGCCCAGCCTTCTCTACATAGTAGTATGCACAACATTGAAATTTCCCAAGTTTTAAACCTTAAAACACTCCATCAAAACAATGTGAGGGGCTCCTGGGTGGCTCAGTTGGTTAAGCGTCGGACTTCGGCTCAGGTCATGATCTCATGGTTGGTGAGTTAGAGCCCTGCGTCAGGCTCTGTGCTGACAGCTCAGAGCCTGGAGCCTGCTTCAGATTCTCTTTCCCTCTCTCTCTGCCCCTCCTCCACTCATGCTGCCTCTCTCTCAAAAATAAAAATAAAAATAAATAAATATTAAAAAATTAATGTGACTACTGCTTTTTATGGACTAGTTTCAAAAAGCTTGAGAATAGGACCGATGGTTTCAATTTGGAAGAATTGAAACTTTCGGATGCCCCACTTTTGGACCAGTACATTTAAGATGAAAAGCTGTTGGGAGACTGGAATCGATTTGAGGGAGCGGAAACAGGCTTGTTTCAGGTTTGGAAAATAGGAAAATGTGGTAATATTGTAAACCTTAACATAGCATATATGTTTTAGGATGGAAAAGTATAGCTCTGGGGAGGAGTGGATTGTTGCTTCCAGAAGAAAGGAAGGGTGTCGGACAGATAAAACTATGAGAATTCACTGTAGCAGGCTATAGCAAATTAACAACTGATCCAGAATTTGAAACCAAGTTAGCAGATTACTAGTCCAGTGCTTTTTCTTCTCCACAATGTTGCCTCGGAAGATTGATCAAAAGCAATAAACCTCCCAGAGCAAAAGACTGATTTGGGCACACCACTGAAAAGCTACTATAATTTGTTATGACACTGGTGACTCCGTGATTTGTGGAGATCACTTAGCATGAACTGACTGAATTACATATCATTGTAATTAATTTCTTTTTAAAACTTCCGAAAAACATCACTAAGTTACAATACAAAATGGCAAACATGATAGCAAACCCAAACTGAAGCTGTGCATCAGTTAACTCAGTATAACTTTCTGCATTCTACTTTCTTGAATATCTGGGCCCATTAAAAATATCTACTACCCAACCTGCCATCATACAGAATGACTGATTCAAAGGAATTCAAAGATCTGAATGTGAAAGATAAAACATCAAATCTTATAAAAGAAACATAGGATAATATTTCCTGACAAGGTTGACAAAGATTTCTGAATCAGGACATAGCACCAATTATAAAATAAATACTGTTAATGACATTTCAGTAAAATCAAGAACTTCTGCTCATCAAGATAAGTACCATTAAGACACAGCAAAGGAAGTTGTGAGAAAGTGTTTGAAACTTATATATCTGAAGATTATACATTGAAAATATATAAGGAATTACAAGTAAATATCCAATTAAAATGGTTTAAGATTGAACAGGCACTTATCAAAAGATTATATGTAAATGGAAAACAAGCATATTAAAAGAGACTCAACATAGTCATCAAAAAATTAAAAATAGCACTATTGTGAGATACTGCAAGGGTAGTATCTCTTATGAAAGAGATCCCACAAATATCCCTCATCCCTTTCACTGTGTGAGGACAGAGCAAGAGGTGCCAGCTGTGAACCAGGTGGGCCCTAAGTCTTCAAGTCCCCTTTAATTTCTAATTCAATATGAAGGTATTTCAGGAAGAATCTGTTATATGAATGTGTTGTGTTAGTGACTAGTGTGCATGATAAGATGTTAGGCACCAAGAGAGATTTACAAATCTAGAGGAATCCTTGACCCTTAGGAATTTACATGTAACCAACAGAGTTAAATAAAAATACAATGTTAACAACAATGCCTGGATAAATCATCATGATAATTTTTGTATATGCCAGGTACATAGCAGTGGACAATAAATGCATGTTAAATTAATTTAAATAAAAATAGTATTTATCTTTTGGGGCCAAAAACTAAAAATCCTACACTTAGCTCGGCCAGCAGCCTATGTAACCTTTGGAAATAAATTTATATTTTTACACCTGATTTATAAAACGCATGACTTTGGCTACATTGTCCTTAAATTCCATTTAAGTTCTAAAATTTTATGCATTTTAATGAACACATTTTATACACTTCACAGAATAATCTATAGTTATATAGTTTACATTTTCTATTCACTTTAGTGCTAATTTGCAGCGTCAAATTTATCCTTTTAAGTCAAGAAGTGTTCTCAGAACATGAGTTCAGCAAGTTGTAATTAGTTGTTAGCTAAAAATATATATTTATGTTGGAATTAAAAAACTTGAGCTTCTCAACTGTAGGACTTTTATAGGATCCTCATTATTGTAATGTACAATTATATCTTCTATGGGAGAATATAGTAAATGCATTTCCTGACTTTTATGGGACTATTGTCCCATAACATAATTTTGGGAAATACTTTGACAAATAATGTTACATTTAAGGAAAAGTTCGTAGATTTTCTGAACCAGAAAAATATGAAAAAGCACAATGTGATCTGTGCTTTACTAAAATCCAGCATATATGGAAAGATGCCAAGAAGGCAAAATTTAAGTGGAATTAACAGCTAGACTGTTGCAGAAGGTCAGGGAGTTATCAGTGAAACCACAGAGAAAAGAGCAGGTGGGAGAGACTTTTTGAGTTAAGTATTGATAAAACTGAGAAATTGAATAAATACAGGATAAGAAGGGCAGATAATTCAAGTACATCCTGAGTAAATTGTTGTGCAAATCATAGAAATAGGGACACTAATATAAGTATTGATTGGTGAATATTAGGAATGAATTCAGTCTGGACAGATTGTATGTGAAGGTTACGTTTTCTAAGTGGGCCTGTATAAAAGCAGTTAAAGATTTAAGACAGGAGCTGGGAAATGTTTTGCTCTGTCATCATGATCATCATCATCATGAAGCAGGGTCATTTCACCAAGAGAAAGGGTACCCAATAAGTCATTTCCAGCTCCCCTTCAATTTTACTTCCTGTCTTTCCTATAATTGCTTGGCTTTGTGGATACTGCCTACTAATCTCTTGGCCTCACTGAAACTGCTAATTCTTGAACAAACCATATATTTTCTAGGTTTAATATTTTGAAACTACTATTTTTAATTAATTTGAGAGAAGGGTGATGAGAGGGGCAGAAGCAGAGAGAGAGAGATCGAGAGAATTCCAAGCGGGCTCCATGCTCAGTGCAGAGCCCAAAGGAGGGCTCCATCCCATGACCCTGGGATCATGACCTGAGCTGAAATTAAGAGTCACT